TACTTGTATTGGAACAGCCCTAATCGAAGCACAACATCGATATTTTCGATGCATCGTTGTTTTTCCGACAAACCTATAAAAATATTCCGGTTGTAGAGGTGTCGCTGAAATGTTGCCGAAAGAGTATCTTGACAGCTGGAACGAATTATGCCCAGAGTGCACAATGGTTGAGACTGATTTGGGAAATCCTTCGGAGACATGGCTTACTAAGATCCTTATAAGCTATTTAAGAATGTTTGGATATAGAGTTGAACTACCGTACGCCGAAGATGGTACTCGGGAAAGGCGGCTTTATTTACTAAAATTAGTTCGCCAGATTGATCACATATATAAAATAACTGACAAGACATTTCTATTTACATAATATGATTTACTGAAGCCAAGTAAAGAATTAATATACAGATTAATTAATTATTGTCTTCACGAATAATTTTTTTTTTCGTTAGCTATTAAAAAAACGTCGCATATGTTGAGAATTCTCTTGAACTATCTATATTACTTCAATATGTTTAAAACAAACGTTTTCAAGATGGCTGCGAACCGATTGAAAGAACGCCAAGATTTGATGGAGGAAGTAAAATATACTATTGCAGAGAATGAGAAACGCCGTATTAAAGCAGAAAAGGTACATATCGTACACATATGGGTAATTAGGTGGGCTTTCAACCCCCAAAATTGGTCAAAATTTTGGAAAGGGGGTACCATTAGACGCGTCTGGACCCTAATAACAAGAATCCGAAAGGGGAAATTAACTTTTTTTTGGTAATTCTCTAGTGTAGGGTAGCAACCCCTGCGGCGCTTTTTCCATAAAAATCAAGGGTACTGTTTATGAATTTGTACAACGATTTTGGGTTGCTGTACCCAAACGCGTGAATCGAATCAAAAAACTTGTACACACACTTGTAGTCAACAGTTCAGGCTTTATTACAAAAATTAAATTCACTAAATCTGTGCACTAATTTAACAATAATGTCGGTTGGAAATATGGTATTTGTTGCAAATTTTTGTTATAATTTTGTATATACATTTTTATATACAAGATATTTTTATAAAACACCCAGTAACCAAAATAGACGTCACTGGGGCGGCAGCCCCAGGTTTACCACACAGAAAGGGAATTCTAGTTACCTCATCCTTTTCCA